CAGTTACAATTATGGTCTTAAGAGGGTTAAGCACTTGTGATTCATTTGTGGGAATGTCAAAATAATGGATTGTTCTTTGTTGGCAGAATGCAAAAATAAATACATTCTGAATAAAGTGTACAGTCTGTTTATGATTTGCTGTTGCACTGTAAATAAACTGATTGCCAATAATAGTGAAAAACACTGAAATATATATGTCAAGAGTAATGACAGCATTTGAATTCTTATCAAATTAATAACTGTAAACAATAGTATATTTTTAGGAAAACTGTCACAAATGGTTATCTGTTAGTAATAACATGATTAAAACTTTGCTTGTACATGTAACACTCCTGTTCATATACCAACAGTTTCCCTGAACAAGTAACTCTAAGAAAACGGAGAACCTGAAAATGTTTACACTATTCAGTTATGTTTTGAACTAGACACTACTCTTTTGCAATAATAAGATTAAATACATAGAAATTAATAAATTGACCATAGAAATAGATTGAAGGAAACTAAAATATATTAGTGTTTTTAAGTATACCATAGAAACAAATTTTAACTAACTCATGCAATTTAGTTTTACATTCACAAAGTGTTTATCCAGGACATACTGAAATAATATCTGACTTGTTAGATGTTTTGTGGACCTGAATGATTTAGAGAAACTATTCCCCCAAGCCCATCACTGGTCTTTTGATGGAGTCTTACATAAAGATTATTAATTTCATAGATAACACTTTATTTGAAGGGGTGTGCATAAGACTGACATGACACTGTCATAAACATGACATAAAGGAGTCTTTATGAATGTCTATGACTGATGTCATGAAGTGTCATTGGGTAAATAGTGACACTTTTAATGCAACGTTGCTCTAAAAGTTGCACTAAAAGTCCATTAAAAGTGCCAACTTTACATTAAAGTGTCATTATTTAGAAAATAATTATCTAATTATAATGAGATAGTATCTCAAAATATGATAGTATTATCATTATAATAATACTATCATTATAATGATTGTTACGGCCCTGGGCCTTGTAGGCTGGGTTGCAGGTCTTGTTGTCTGTCTTTGTGCTCCTCCCCTTTACAGGTGCTGCTGATCAGGTTGATTGGGAGCGCAGAGTATGTGAACCTGGCTGTCTCCGTCTTCTGGGTGGCCTTCAGCGTCCACTCTGCCGCTTGATGCTAGTGGTGTTTGTTGCCAGGCCTCAGCTCCCCTCCTTTTTGCACTTTTGAGTTTGTGTTTGTTTTGGCACTTCAACACTTCCATATGGACTCATACAACACATCCAAACATTTGCATTACACCACTGATACTGATATCCACAATCCATTGTTGTTTTTGTTAATAAATATTCATTTTTCTACACTTTAACACCTGCATGGTCTCCCGTTTTTGTTATGACCTTGAGCCAGTCGTAACAATGATATAAACTATCATAATGATAGTATCTCTTTATAATGAGATAATTTATTTTATTTTTTAACAGAGTGGCAGAAACGGGCTTCCATACTTCTGCATATGTATTAATTAGTTTTATTTTGTAATCAGGTTGCTGCGTGTTGCAGACTTCTGCCCAGGTCCCTCTTGAGAATGAGATCTGGATCTCAACGGGGTTCACCCAAGTAAATAAAGGCAATAAAAAAAGGCATACTTTATTAGCCTAAAATTTACACTGAGATGTAATTTAAAACACAGTAAAATTAATCATTTAAAGTAGCATTAAGTGAATTCTAAAAAAATATATTTTTCTAGATCCTATGTTTTAAAATATACACAAAATATCTTTGACAGATATTTTAAATATCTTTTAAATATACACTTGAGTAAGTGTATATTTACACTTTGGCAAATACACATTTTGTTCACCTAAAGTATGCTTTTATTTAATATATTTCTTAAAAGTGTATTTTGGTAAAATTATGTTTAAAGTTATAATTTTGAAATTGGTACAAGCGTAGTTTTAGTATACTTCAGATATATTTATAGGTAGTACACTTAATACTTAGTATACTTAAAATGTACTTTCACAAATGTAAGTATGTTTGAAATATACTAAAGTATACCCAGGTGAAAAAAGTATACTTTAGTATATTTCAAACATACTTACATTTGTGAAAGTACATTTTAAGTATACTAAGTATTAAGTGTACTACCTATAAATATATACGAAGTATACTAACGACATACTTGTACCAATTTCAAAATTATAACTTTAAACACACTTAAGCATAATTGTACCAAAATACACTTTTAATATATTAAATAAAAGTATACTTTAAGTGAACAAAATATATATTTGCCCAAGTGTAAATATACACTTGCTCAAGTATATTTAAACATATTCTTTAAGTCCACACTTAAAACAGCTTCATAGTTAATGCCAACATCAGTCAGTCTCAAAGCAGAATAATAAGACATTAAGTAACTAAAAAGTGTACTTCATTAGCAATTATAATAAACCAAAAGTGTATTTGTAGCATACTGTAATCACATTACTAATTACTAATATATTAAATATGTTTTTCCATTACACTTAAAATACATTCTAAATATATGTTAAATCTAATTCAATCACTAAAATAGTACACTCATAATATACTTATCAAGCACATTTTTAGTACATTAAAAACAGTACACTTAAGGTACACTTAAACTACTTAAGTTTGTCCCAAAAAAGTACATTGAAGTATGCTTAGTACACTTTAAATAGTGCTTAAATACTGCTTAGGTACTACTTAAATACACTAAGCGCTAAATTAGTAGGTCAAAAAAGTCACACTTTAAGTATACTAATTCTAATTATGCTTGAAATATACTCAAGTATGTTAACATTTAACATGGTACACTAATTTTTCACCTGCAATGTCTCAGTGATGATCATAACGCAGCTATTTAACCTACTTCAGCTCATCTAGCTTGTTGGCGAGATATCTGGTATTGGTGATGAAAAGGCTGGAAATAGATGGTCTGTGCGGATTAGTTTGTAATCTGCTTTTGGTTATCTCTTAGTTTTTATCATTACCCACAGAGGAGTAATGGTAAAATCCTCACCTGACTGTCGTAGCTCCGGTGGGATAAAATAATACTTTGAACATACGAATCGGGATGTTTGATTCTTAATTTTCAGTAATTCTTGATTTTATCTGTTTTGTGTATTGCTTGAGCACTTCACAAGGTTTCCCTGTGGTAGTAAATTCTTCATCACCCCTTCAAAATATTTTGAATGTTCCATTGATATTTGCTTCGTGTTTTAAGTTTAACTATAAAATCTGTATAAAAATTATAACTATTCACAGAACCTGAGCTGAGATTTTCCAATCAATTGCTTCAAAACAACCTTGTAGTCACCTTCCAAGCAGGTCTCTTAAGGGGTTCATGTTTAGAGCAGAGATAAAGAAGATTGTGAGGTCTTGGTTTGGAGATGTATCCTTGATATTAGCATAAAACAAATCCAAAATCTTGTTTTCTGGAGCAGCTGATGAACTGGTGAAACATTGGCAGTGTTAAAGAGTGTGAGGCATGCATTGGGGTGTTGTGTCTGTATCTTAGCAACAACAGAACTGATGACATCGCATGCATCATCAGCATTATCAGCTGAGGGTGGAATGTAAACAACTGCCAAAATAACATTGGTAAATAATATGGTCTGAAGTTCACTGCAAAGAGTTGAGTGTCTGGACTGCAGATACGACACTTCACAGTAACATGTCCTAGATGACAAACTGCTAATCCACCTCCCTTCTTTTCCTGCTGATCTTTAAATCTCTGTCTGCTCATGTAGAATAGAATATACCTTAATGATCCCCAAGGGATAATTGATTATTAGTTGACAAGCTGTCCATCCAATGTCTTAAATATTATTAATAGAATATAACCATAAGAACCATAAAATATAAAGTTTATAATGTAGATACAGGCACCTAAGAGAGATGTAGGTAATTCAATATGACTTAATATAAATAAATAACAAATAAGCCTTGCAAATATGTTAATCTATAAATAATCTATAAATGAGTGCAGAGAAAATTTGATACTCAGACTTGGGCATTGTAAAGGCCTGGCAGAAATGATAGTACAGTACAGTCAGGAAGCCTGGCAGAGAGACGTTGGATACAATCCTGCAGCCATGTCTCCGTAAAACACATAACGCTGCATTCCCTATACTCCATTATGATGGATTCAAAACACAATTATTTTAAACAGATAAAATCAATACCAATTAAGTAAAATCAAATTTCAGTTGGGTTGAAGACCAATGGGTCAAAACAGAGGCACCGCCAGCAATCTTGGGCCCCGTGACAAAAAAAATAGATTGGGCCCCATACTGTTAGAATTTCTTAAGCCTATTTGACCCATAAAATGCATCAAATTAAAGGCTTACAGCTGCCTTGCTTTCTTTGATACTAGGACAATATTTATTGCTAGTGAATTTTACATGCAACAATCTGCATGCTGTATGCAAATCAATTGCTTAATTTTTTTTAAATTAGTTTGATACTGAAATGTCTCTTTCCACGAGCAACAATCACAGACAACATGCAAAATATTAGTAAAGCAATCAAGACTTCTCAAAAAATGCTATGTTGTTGCATTTTATTCAAGTTGCAGTATATAACTTTAATAAAAAAATATGTTTTCTCTATATTTGTTAAAGATGTGACTATGTCATGACAGTTTGTTATGAGACAGACAATCTGTGAAAATATCAATCTCCTCCACCTCCTTCCTGAGCTGCTAATACTAGTTAAAGAAATGCAACATTTAATTTTTACTGCTAAAAACAAGTTTTAAAAATGGAATATGATTAATTTTGTATTTGATAGGGCCCCACATTTGTTCTATTTCTATAAACAAAAACAAAAAAAAAATGTGGGGGCCTCTTGTTATGTAATCTTTATTTTTGTTTCATTTTGTTCATTTAACTAATTGCACTTTTTACCTATAAATACATGAACGACAGTGATTCCAGAGAAGTACACAAGGCAGCAGCAGAGCTTGTTTTAGCATTGTTCCACTAGATGGCAGAAGCGTCCCTCCCTGGTTTGTAGGTTACAGAGAGGAGCTAAACGGAGAAGAAGAAGGTTCACAGCTTGGTGGAGCTTCCGCACAGGAACAAATCTGACCCTAAAATTCGGTAGAAATGTTTGAAAATTTTAGAGAAAGACTTCACATGGTCCAACAGGACTTCTCAACCAGGTTTGTCGCTCTTTTTTTTTTGTCATGGACCACAACATGATGTTTTGGATATCCTAGATAATGTAGAAACAGCTGCAGTTATACTATAGTAGTTTAAGTAGCAGATGTGCTATTATCATGTGCTTGTGGTGCACTGTCAGCATTAAACTGATAGTTGGATTTCTTTTTGGTGACCTAATCTGCTAGACACCCGTGTTTTGATCGCAGTCTGTAGTTATTGGTCTCAGCTGACGGTCATGTGACGCGTATGAACATAAAATGACGTCACCACCAACCCTGTATGAGTATAGTATGGAGTCTAGCGGCTGAAACCCTGGTGCATTATGGTACATTTTTACTTTAATTCCGTCTCTCCAAAGAACCTTGCTACCGAAGTCCCGGGGTTTATTCCCATGCGATTTAACAAAGCTGAGTCTTAATTTGTCATCCTATTTTTAGAGATTAGGGAGTTTCTTTTATATCTCGTTTTTACAAACATTTTAGATTGTAACTGAAGGCTGGAGTTGTGTGGCATCAGGACATTTTGCATTTAGAAAGTTTACAGGGGACCGTTTGTTGCTGAAAACTGTTGTCAGTTGTTTTCTTTTACCTGCTCAGCAGTACATTAAATATGTAATATTTTAGTGAAACAAAGTAGAAAGCACAGATTAACATTGGTTTGTAAGAGGGTATTTCAGAGTGTAACTTTTAGGCTCGATTGTTTTTTTTGTTGTTGTTGACCGGTCTAGAAAATGTTTTTAATCTTTTCTCAGCATCAAAAACCCTCCCTGAATTTACCCAAGTTCTACTTTTGCAGAATACTACATGACGCTGTACTGCTGTTCTGCATCTCACTCTGTTTCAGTTTCAAGACCCTGGGAGACATGTCAAAAGAGACCAAAATCAAGAGGAAATCCAGGTGACATGTAATCTGTGGATTTGTGTTTGTGTGTATGCCACAAACACACTGCATTATATATGCATAATATTACTGGTCCAGTTTTGTGATCTTCACAAATTGTCCCCTCAACTTGTATTAATGAAAATATTTAATAATAAAATCTTTTTTGCAGTTGCACAATCTCACACAGAATAAAACAGAACAATCCTCTCGTTAGTTTCAGTTCATCTGTTGGGAAAAATAATTGCATATTAAGAAGTTATATTACTTTACTGATGGGGGTCAGAGGGCCCGGTGGGGCCGGTTCATGGCAGCCTCGCTTCTGTCAGACTGCACTAGGGCAGTAGGTAGCCACCATCATTATGGGAGTGTGTGTGTGAAGCACGTTGGGGTCGTCTGGACTTGATAAAGCACTATACAAGTATAAAGCCATTTTTCTTAAAGTGGACATATCATGCTTTATTTTAACATGTAAATCATTCACTTATGGTCTGTAAAATAGAACTGCAATGCTTTGGTCCGAATTCCTTGATGCTGTTGCCCCTGTTCTGAAGTGTTTTGGAGCAACTTGTTTTGTTGCATTTTTCTTTTTCATGTGAATGAGACATTTCATGCCCCGACCCCTCCAGGTCTCATTCCTCTACATCCTGCTCAGCCATATTTGTAGGTTGATGGCAGTGATATGATTATCTACTGGCAGAGAAACTATTTATTCTAAAGCTTATTGAAGATGTTAAGAACAGAAGACTAACCCATCCAACCTTACATGTTGGAACCGGAGTCTGACTCAGAACAGGAGAATGAAGAACCACACATTCAAATAAAAGCATCTCAATGGTTTCACTCTCTCCATCCATACTAACTACCTGCATTATGGAGTGTAGTTTAGCTAAACTGCAATCAAATATCATTTGATAGTTATACTGATATCAAATATCTTTTAAAATATTAATGCTACTACAAAATAAATGAAGTAAACATAGCTTCACATAATCAAGGACTTCACTAATGCAAGCGTCAAGAACGTTACTGAATGGATTTGGGTTCTGTGTTCCCCAAGACAAAAACAGTAAAAACAAAACCAAATAATTATATCCAGAACATGCAGTACAGTATCAAACCAATGGCTAGGATGTAATTATCAACACACAAAATGAATGTCTAAAATAATCTTTGTTGTCATTTTACCGATATTTAGAGCTTTGCCGTTTCCCTCATTTCCATAGAGGAGGAACTGACCCGGAGTCAGACGAAGACGGAAAATCACTCTTGATACTGGCAGAGGTTGCTGAAGCACTCATCCTTAAATGCTCCAAAAACTGACTTTCCCCACAGACGTGGAGACATTCTTGAGAAAAATATAACTTAAGCCGACATTTCAAACAGGAACTTGTTGGACGATGTATGGAATCTTGAGTATTAATACAGGCTAAAACTGAACATTTTGACTTGACTACTTGTAACTTCAGCATGACTGACCTTGGACTACAAAATTGCCATGAAGAAAAAAGTTGGCACAAAACTGATTAGTCATGACCTTGTTTAGCAGTTCCACAGCAAATACAATGACATCATAGACAAGAAAAACATTACAGCAAATATAGCAAAATTAACAGACTGAAAAATGTAACCCAAAGAAAATATAAAGATATCTATGCAGCACTGGGAGAGAATAAATTTAAATTTTTTGCACTCAGACATTCAAAGTACACAAAAATGCATTTTAGGGCTAAAAAGTAGATCTTGTGTCACAATTGTTGGTTAAAACTAAATATTCCCTAGAATACATAAATGTAACTGGAGAATTTGTCACTTACCTCTGAATTTGTGTACTTACACACAAATTTTAAGTAGTGATTCATAACTACAAACTTCCATGAGGTATGACTATGATTTGCAACACCATTTCTACCAGCCTACCTTGTGTGTTGAAGTGTGTGTTGGATGCAGCACCTAGTAGCTCCCTAGTGAGAAGTCACTAAACTTCTCACTAAAACATTGTCAGTCTTTCTTTCAGGTTGGAAGAAGGTTTTCCATTTTTAGGTGCTGGACTTGACATTTTGAACAGGTCAGTAGAGATTCTATGCTTCTGTAATTCCCTGGTTGTCCCTCTCTGACATGCACAATGTGTTCACTGGGCTGTTTATTTTGCACTGATCTGATTGTCTGGGTGAAAGCGTTCTGACCCATTGGGACCTTGATTTGGTTGGTCTCTGTAAAGCAGACCCAGAATGTTTGGATGGAAAGAAACGGTTCTTATCTTTCTTTAGGTTTGAGAAGAGTTGGTTTCTGCTCCATAAAAGAACCAAAGCCTGTACCCAGATAGCAGAGGTACGGACTGTTTTTTGTTTTGTTTTTTTCAGGGGTGTCCTTGCTTGTCCTTGACGGCTGATTAACAGGTGTTTGCTGAACTGCCATTAGCTGAATCAGGAGTATTAAAGCAGGGAACCTTCTATATCAGTGTTTCTCAACCCTGTCCTGCATGTTTTAGGTGTTTCCCTTCTGCCACACCTGAATTGTATCTCTGGGTGATTAACAGGCTTCTGCAGGACTTGATGGTCATGCAATCATTTGAATCAGCTGTTCTGGAACAGAGACACATCTAAAACATGCAGAGCAGGGGGGCGGTGAGGACCAGGGTGGAGAAACACCGATTTAATCAATAGTCTTTCAAATTCAGAGTTTTAGTTTCAAAAGTCTGTAGGAAGTGTGACACTTTAATTAAATCTTTCTCTGATATTACCCCTGACACAAACCTCAGACATCTGTTTGATGAGAATAGAAGTCATCAAACGGATGTTATGAATGGTGATGAGCATTTCTCTGTTGCCTGAGCTGTAGTTGTGGTAAAATCTGATGTTTGGACTGGCCATGCTAATAATGCCATCCAGGACGGCAGGCACAGCACTCTCTGTGATATCCCACACCTATGGAGAACTTTGTAGAATTATGTTGTTCCTCAAACTGGTTGTAGAGAGTTAACCATTTGTTTTAACCCATTCAAACACCCGTCTGCTAATTTGCCTTGTAGGAGCTGATTGCCAGGAGCCCCAGAGTGTTTAACACCTGTAATTGGACAGGGATGGATTGGTTAAGGTGGCTCTGACCCAGTTTAACACATAGATCCAAGAGCAACGCTATAGAGAGTCAAAATCGGCTGATAAGCCAGTCATCATGGGCCAGAAGATTTTGTTGTTTTCTGAAACTGGTTCCCCCCCAATCCTCCCATTGACAACATCTTTCATCAACCCCAATGCATTCATCACGCAGCATTTCACACGGGCATCACAACAGTATTTAGATGTTTACAGAAATTACATTGAGTGCTTCACATCTTGATATAATTTATTTGTTAGTCTGTTGTAAAAAAAATGAATAAATAAAACTGGTACGTCTAACTTTTACCTTTTCGCAGAAAGTGGCGTTTGCATATTTCAGGCCCTGTTTTGCATTTATGATTAGAAATGAAACCTCTGATCTTTAATCCTTCTTTATTTTTTTTAGTCTGTGGATGGAGACATAGTGATGCTGTCGGCACACTGGGAGAGGAGAAAAGCTGCTCTGACACACCTACAGGAACAACTGCAAAGCCTACCAGATTTCATCACCGAACTTGATGCCATTACTGCTAACATAGGTGTGTATGTGTTCCAGAATTGCTCTATTAATCATTCACTCTTGTATCCATTATAATGGANAGGAAATTGTATTTTTCTATGACGGTATGTTGGCTGTTCATTCTGGCTGCTATTTGAAGTTTTGGTTTTCCGTACCCAGAAATGTTGAAGATTTTATCAAAAGATCTCAGTTTATACAATCATTGGAAATGCTGAATTGGTCAAAGAGCAATTTGACCGAATATTTACTTGATCGATCGATCGATCGCGATCGCGATCTCGATCTCTCTCTCTCTCTTTCTCTCTCTCTCTCTCTCATAGAATCAAGTCAAGACTACGTTGTCAAAGGAAATCACATAGTTTGATGTTTAGAAACAGTAACCCTGTCCACATTAACTGCAAAAATCAGACAGCGACAGTAGTTTCAAACATCAAATCCAATGTCATTTTGTGTTTGTTTTAAAATATGAGTGAAATCCTGTTTTTCCTCTCTCATACACACAGTATGACAACCCATCAGCATCTACCTTAAATAATTAATGGCTGCTCATGGCAACTGTTTGTCAGCAGGAAAAAACCAAACAAAAAAAATGTATCTTTGAAAACCCAAATCTCTGATCGGTTCATGCATAACCTTTAGATTTTAAGATATATATGTACCCACTTTTATTTATTCATTTTACTAGAGCAGTGCTGATTTACCTTATTTGCTTGATATCAGTTCTTGTCTGGGCTGTAATTTTTTTTTTTCAACCACTGGTTTATTATACATTACATGCATATAAAACTAGTTTATTCCAGACACAGCGAATAAAACTCTGTTCATATACAAATTAATACAGTTCTGTATCCTATGTTTTGCTGTATTTCAGCGAAAACGAAAGGTTTTGATTTGTCTCACTGGCAGAAACCACGATGTTCTAAAAAGAGAGTTGAAAGAGGAGCACTGCTGTAATAGATCCAGCTAAAGGAGAAAAAATGTGTTAATTTATGCTTCATCACAGAGCAAAAATGCTGCAACACTTAAACCCAAAAATAGTAAAACCAAATCGGTTTTTTTGGCCTTTTTTTAGCCTCCCGCAATCACTCCAACTAAATGAATGTGGCGCAACCATAAGGCTCGACAAAACACAGTGACTGTCCTTGTGACTGACTAATGAGTTGTAGACGGTCACATGTTTTGAACTAAACATTTAATCAAAGATTTTGTGTCAAGGATTGTTTTTTTTGTAACATCTACAGCAGTGTACGCAAAGCATATTCAAGCTAACACACAAAGGGATGCAGAAGTTGTTTAAATAGACTGGAGGAGGTGTAGTGGCAGCAGCCATAACGACACACACGTGGCCTCTTCGTATCTAAATTGAGAGGAAATAATTCTGAGAAGTCTTTGAAAGAAACGTAAAAGTATTGAATGGGTGTTCATCACTTCAACGTTTGAGTGTTTTGAGAATGTAGTGTGTGGTATTGGGTGCAAATAATAGAAAAGCTGAAATTGTGATTTTTGTTACTTGTTTTTTTTTTCTTTACAGTTAAAATAAACCAAGTCATTTAGACATAGGATTCATTGTTGCTAGATGTTTTTGGGGAAATAGATGAGCAATAAAGTATTTGCTGACAAATGAAGAACTAAGGAGAAAGCCTAACCAGCCACATTACATACTTGCAGTGTAAAAGTCACCTGCTAAGAAAGTGGCACATGGTTGGATTCCTGGTTTTATTCAATGATTAAATGTCCTCAACAGGGCAGAGGAGAAACTAGAGACAGATTAACCAAATAAAAAAAAAAAAAACATTGTTCCTACTTTTCCCTGTTTGAAAAACCAGACACTACTCGAGCATTTTTTGACATCTGTCACATCTAAGGTAACAAAACGCTATTACTTTACCGTCCAGATCAAATCTTGCATAGTAGCACATTTCAGCTGATTGTTCTGAAAAACAATATTTAGATACCTTAGTCTGAATACTTTAGTTTATCACCAGTGATATCATGGCCTAACATGAACTTGGCTAAACCTAAATACTTCAGACAGCATATTTGTACCGAAAAAAATCAGTTCAGCAAAAACTAAAAACTAAGACAATTTAAAAGAAACAATGTGAGAATACCCCACAACATTAATGTACACTAGAAATAAAAACATAAAAGGCCTGAATTAAGGCCTTTTTCCGTTTTACAGCTCAGATTATTGATAAATCTTGTTTTTGTATTGGCATGAATGTGTTACCCATTGAAATCTTCATCTATGCATATTACTTAGAGCAACCAAATAATCTTCTGGGGCTTGAAATTGGACGATTTTCAGTTTGACTGATTCTGACTGGCTTGCAGTTGGTCAAAAAGTCAATAAAAAGTAATTAGGAAAACTAGATTTTTTTTTCTCATTAGCAAATTATTGCACATCTTGCTTTGATTTGAATTTTATTAAAAACTAGTACTAGCAGCTTTAAGCCATACAAAACCAAAGTAAAGAAATCATTCACAAAACCCTGACTGGTGCATTTCTAGTATGTACCCACAGACTAGTCAAACCCTCAGTTTCTATGCATATCAGATCTAATCCCTTGTTGTTAAATTATACATTTAAAAGTTAACAGTGGTCAAAATTAAATTTGTAAAGATGTCAGTCGTGGTAAAATGCTGTAACTCTGTCCAAACTTAATCGGGAACAAAGCCTTTGATAACGTCATTAGTGCCTGACAATAACTACTGCACTTCACTGCATTATCTCAGCTTGTCAACATTTACACTCGTGGTCCCCCGGATGGATTTGTCACGTCACTTAACCTTTTGGCCCTTTTTACGGATAGTTTCTATCTTCAGATTGGCTTTCAACAAGAATCAGTTCATCCCAGTGCCTCTAAAGCCTGAGGACAAATCTGATCCCGCATCCAGTCATAAGTACAGTTTATAAAGTGCGGTGGCCAGGCTTTATGGGGCTGTCTGGTTTATTTTTGGGTATCTGAGCCTGCAAGGATTCCTGTTACAAACCCCCTCTGGGAGACATGTGAGAGCCTGATTGTAGAGATTGCAGTGGGCAGGAAGTGTTTCCATTTTATCCTTTAGGACAACAAAATCTCACTTAACAATCAAGAAAGCTCGAGTAAGTGTATTTTCCTCTCAATCATCAGACTTTAAGTAGATACGTCCCACCAGCAAATTCCGAGCTGAGTCAGATGATTTTTTTTTTTTTATCTTCCTGGAAAACTTATCTGATAGTGTTAGGACAGCCATGAAATCACATGCAGATTGTAGTAAGAGGCAAGCTGGAGAGAAAACACACACGTCCACACACACATCAGGTCTGCATCACCCTAAAATGACACAGCCAACAGTATGGTATCTCAAGCACTGCCGTCATTTATATGTAAATCAGGACGCCCCCTCTCTGCACCCTCAGCGAGTCTCCAGACACAGAAAGAGAGCGCAAACTTTCGATCAGATCAGACAACAGGTGATTGGGAGCGACAGGGAATCAAATGATGCGTGACGAGATGGAACAAGATGAGGTGAAATGAGCTCGTATCACGGCGCTTTACAAGGAGGGGAAACTATCTGGAACCGAGGCCTGTTTGTTCCAACACTAATGATTTTGTGTCCCCTGTTGTCACCCCCAAGGGCTCCAGCGATGCTGCAGGGTTGTCGGGCTGTTCTCTCCGCGATCGGAGCTTTGATTAACGACTCGCTGCAACAATCGCTCCCCCCCCAAAAAAAAAAAATTTGACACATTTCACGCCGGATGACAGTCAGATGACAAGGGGCCGTCAAGCTTCGCCGGGATAAGTGATGAGCAAGCGAAAATCTGACGGTGCGCGCCAGGAATGCTCATTATGTTTCCATCTCTCATTTAGACAAGGATCTTACTGTAAAATGCACTCTTACTTGAGGTTTACTGTCTGGTGCAGTGATGCCTGTAGGTCACCAGTAGACAAAAACCCACAAACATTTTCCGTTTTTATATATATATATATATATATGCACCACATTTACATAGCAAGAGCCTGCCAAGGACAGGAGCGGCACAGCAGCCACCCGTTTCTCTCCGAATGGGACAGTTAATGTCATTCAGAGAGCAGAAGTGAATGAGAGAGCAGTCTTTCTTGAGTGACGTCTGTGTGTTGAAGGGAAGCGTCCCTGAAGTGTGCCCAAGTGAGAATTTTTTTTGAAAGCTCAGCAGTCCATCAGAGGCTCAACAAAAAGGGCTCCTGAATGTAAATCTTTATGCCACTCCATCTGCCAGAGCGAATGCATACATTACCAGAACCCTTCAAAAAAAAAAAAAAAAAGAAAAGAGAAACACACACACAGAGTGACACAAACATACAAAGCCTTGTGAAGCTTTTTCACATTTTGTCACAACCACGAGCCTGAGACCGTAGTGTATTTTTAGCAAGACTTTATGTGATGGAGACCAACAAAGTTCTTCTTTTTTCCTGTCGTTCTTTTACGAAGGTCACGATTATGTCGGGCACGAGTGGTAGTTGTTCTGTTCCGAGTTGTGGATCTCTGCAGCTCCTCCAGAGTTGCTTCTCTGATTAATCCTCTCCTTATCCCAGCCCAACAGTTCAGGTAGTTTCCAGTTGTGTCATGGTTTTCCCATATTTTAGATGACAGACTGAACAATTCCCCATGAAATCTTCAAAGTTATAGACACAGTTTAACAAGCTAACCCTGCTTTAAACTTTTCCAGGACTGAGCTTGACTTGTCTGCTGTATTTCTTGGTGTCCATTGTTCTCTATGTTTTCCCAATATTCTCTGAGATCTTGACAGAACAGCTGAATTCATCCAGAGGATAATTTACAATCCAGATGGATGGACAAAACAAAGCAACTGAACTGGATTTTATTTAGGGATATAAAATTAAACGGAGACAGAGTGAATAGAAATATTCAATTTTGGATTTTTTTTCTTGTAAAAGTATTGAAAACTTCCACTTAACAGTCCTTATGTTTAGTCTGTGCTATAAATCCTAATAATACACCCTGGCTTAGTCTTAAACCATTACAAAATGTGAAAAGCTCAAAGGAGGTGAAGGGACATTAATCATACATACCGGATCATGAAATATACAAAAGACCTC